AATATATTCTTTACACCCATAATTATTTAGGAAATAAAACTGTCTTTTGTAGTTCATTTAAAACCACTAAATAATTTTTTTTCATAGTTTAGAGGGTTATTGAAAAGTGCAAAAATAAACAAAAAAGCTGCATTTTCTTCTTCATCTGGCACTGCAAATGCTCCTAGAAAAAATACTACTGGGTCTAAAAAACTCAAATTTTAATCTTATCCCTTTCTCATTATCAGTGAGATGCTTGCAAAAGTTCTTGGTTGATAGGGTTCATGAGTGTTTATACTATATATATATATATAGTAGATATATATGATATATACATCATACAGGCTCATCACCTCCGTTATAACATGATGCAAGTGAGTCACAAGTTTCATAAACCAAAATGTGTATTTAGTCAATAAACATAAAATGTAGATTTCTTCTATTTTCAAAAATATTGTGTAGAAATTTAAATTTTACATTTTTATGTGTAATTCTTACATTTTCTAAATCACTGTTTTTCAATTTTAGGACTAGTATTATTAGAGAGGTTGAGGCGCACGTTTTAAACGTGTAAACGTGTACGTGTGACGTTCGGCACCGCTTTCCCGTAAGCCTAAAAGTTTGACGATGGTGTTTGAAATGTCGAGTGTGATTCCACCGACTATCCAAACACCATTGTCAAACTTTTAGGCTTACGGGAAAGCGGCGCCGAACATCACATGTACACGTTTACATGTTTAAAACGTGTGCCTCAACTTCTCTATTTTTTTTCAAAACTGCTAAAAATTCTATCAATATTATAATGTTTTGTTTGTAAATTGAGGTCAACTCCCATAGATATTTTAGACCATTTCTTGGAAAATCAGATGAGCTTGAAATCTTTAAATAAAATTATAACTGTGCTTTTTGACAAATATGTACAGTATAGACTATTGTTGTAAACATCATACTCATGAGTCAAGGTCTTGCATAGTCCCAACTTTGCTTACTGTAAAATAATATTCTAGGGCTAATGACCCAGCTCACTTTCATCCCTGTAGAATTGATGGTTGAGAGAGGAAAGAAAATCTGAATGTTGCTTATGATACTTTGTCATTTTACAGTAATTCTGATATTTTGACGATGCACGGATAATTGGGAGTTTTGTTTGTTCAATTTTTTGTTAAATTTTTATAGCTATATTGGTCTGTGGTATGTTTACACATAACTAGGGATTTTTATACAATTAAACAGTAATCAAGCAATTACTGTTAAAATATTCAGTATTCTGTCATTTGAGTTTAAATTAAATACTGTTTAACAATAAAGAACTATATTTGTGTTAATATTATAAATTTTTACCTGTAACATAACTGAGACTATACTTACATTAATATATGTAAGTATAGTCTCCCATTATATAATAATTAATCAAAAATGACCTGATGATGACTGTGCATTATCAGTGGGGAGATCTGAACCCCTTTTTCTCTGCTTTGTAAGGTTACAATACAACAGAAAGCAGGGCTGTGATTTATGTTTGTACTTGTTTAATAATAAAAATACAATATTTTTAAGGTTGAATTCTGTTTTTATTCTATAAAATGTTGATTAATAAAGTGATGAATGGTGACCAAGGCCTAGGTCAAAAGGTTTCCAATATATATGTATGATTCATATTAAAATTTTTTACAGTATTATATAATTTGTAAGATATGTTGTTTAATTCTGTTGTTAACAGTATATTAATGTGATATATTGAAAGTGTATTTGATGAAAATTAAATTTTATTGAATTTTTAAAAATGTGTGGCTGCATCCCTGAGATTACTCTGTGATATGTATTGTGATGATCTGCCTGTTCTGAGCTCCTTGAAAGTGAGATATTTTGATGAAAAAACTGGATTAGCAAAAATGCAGATGGGAGTTGCTGTGCAGATTCGTTGAAAATGTAATATGGAATTGTTTCCAAACATTTTTGTGTTTCTGAAACTTTGTGCTACAATCCCTATATCATGTAAATGCAAAAGGTCAGACAGCATGTTGAGAAGAGTGAGCAACTACATGAGAACTATAATGACTGAATGTTGCCTTACATTACTGGCTCTAATTTGTTGTCATTGTGATTTTTCTTGTTGGTATTGACAAAGTGGTAAATATATTCATGACATTTTCATCCAGGGAGGATGCAATTAGGTATATTGTAGGTAATTGAAGGTTTCTTGACAATGAAAAATATTTTTTGTAATATACGTAATCCATATTTGCTGGAATTTGAAGTGTTTGATGTGTTAGTTTTCACTTCTTTCAGTTTCTGTGGTTATATCTATTGGGTTGTTCAGAAAGTAATTTCGTTTTTATTCTGTGGAAAAAAATGCAATATTTTTATAATAAATAAATATTTTATTGAATTATATATTGGCCATTTTGGTCAAATACCTGTTGTCACCGTTTCTGGTAGTAGCATGATTTCACATTCATAAAAGTTTTGATTGTTGCTTACAAAAAACTGATCCAAGTGATTTTTGACATTGTCATTTCAAGTAAATGTCTTAAAAGTTAAAAAATATATGTATAGACTGGAACAAGTAATAATCTGAGTGTGCTCGATCTCGTGAATATGGTTGGTGCGATAGCACATCCCATCTAAGTTATAACGAGTTTCTGATGTGTTACCAAACTTGTGTGAAATTTGACATTATCGTAATAAAACACTACACCTGTTTTGTTGATCAATTCTGGCCACCTTTTCTGTTTCATGATATCACTCAATTTGTTTACTCGATGGCAGTACACTTTTGAATCAATTGTTAAATTGTCTGGTAAAAGCTCCAAAAGTAAATTTCCTTAAAATCCCACCAAAGAGAGCATATCTCTTTAAGAACACGTGGAACCCATATATTGAGCTGTGAAACGAAACCAATTTGTTTCAAGTAATCATAAACAGTTCAATTTGACAAATTTAATCTCTTAGTGATTTCACGTGTTATTAGTCAGCAGTTTGCTTCAATCAGTACTTTTATTTTGTTTTCATTGGCTTCAACTGGCCATCCAGAACGTGGTGCATCTTCAATATTGAAATTGCCAGAATGAAATTTTGTAAATCAGTTTTGGCACTGTCGTTCTGTCAATATATCTTCTCCATACGCGCCATACAATTTTTTTCTCGCTTGAACAGCATTCTTACCTTTTTGGTAATAAAAGAGCAAAATATGCCGAAAATGCTGCTTTCGATCTTCCATATTGATGGGACACAAAAATAAATAATTGCACAAAATCAAACAAAATTTTTTACAAATAAGTCTTGAAATGCTAGTTGTTAAAATATATAATGATAATTTGGTTTAGAATGAATTTAGAAAATAATTTGTTTTTAATTTTTTATTTTTCAGATGTTCTTATGGGATATAATGGTACAATATTTGCATATGGGCAAACATCTAGTGGAAAAACTCATACTATGGAGGTAAATTTTTTATTTCCTACCTTGTAGAATAAATTTTACTATTTATTAAGAAAATTTGACAACAATAATTGTAATTGAAATTATTACAAATGTACTTGTATTTTTTTTCAACAATGTTATAATGAAACAACATTAAGTAAGGACTAGTTGTACTTATAAATGTGCATTTATTTGCAAAATGTTCAAATATTTCATGATGGACTTCCTGACCGATCAAAAGAATACATCATGTAATAAAGATCTTGTTATGTCAGGTTGATGCTAAAGACAAAGGTGCTTATGAGCAGGTTACACCCACATGTATATGGTTTATAGAGTTTATATGTCCATCTGCTCTCTAACAAAGAAGCCAAAGCATAACAAGGAAGGTTAGGCCACAGATTGTGAACCAGATAGCCGACTTTTAAGAAATGTTTGTAGCGACCTCACTGGTAACAGGCAGAACCATTCTTTTGGACATTCAGTGAGGATGATTTTCAGACAATAATATTTGAATCTCACTATTATGGATCAGGTTATAACATTGATTAATCCAGAAATAGATCATAGATTCAGAGAACTAAAAAACATATTAATCAAAACCCTATGTGAACAGCCTCAATTCTTCTGACTCACAAGGACTAAGCAGGAAAATATTATCCAAAATAGAGTGATAATAAAATAATAAATAAATAAAATATTTTGGATGATGATATCGTCTGCCTTGTCCTTCCTGGGAGTCAGAAGAAATATGGCTGTTCAGATGAGATTTTGAAAAATACTTTTAGTTCTCTAAATTTATGATGTATTTTTATGATTAATAAATAAATACGTTTTCAAGCATATAAGGTAGGTACTGTACATACATATTTTCTGTTAATATGATATGTAATATAATAAGTAGAAGATATTGTTAATATGAACAATATTGATTTTAACTTGAAATCTACCATTTTAATTAAAAAAAATTTTTTTTAATTAAAATAAACTTTAATAAAACATAAAATTCATCTGGATACGAGTCCAAGTTTACTTGCCATGTCTAATCACCAGGAACAACTATTTCCATTGCAGAGACAACCTTTCTTTAGAGGCTATGCCTCTGCACAAATATGTAAAACAGTTTAAAATGTCCACAGTTTAAAAAATATGTAAAACAGTTTAAAATGTATCCAGATGAATTTTATGTTTTATTAAATTGTAATTCTGCCAGCCCATTTCTACAAACAAATATTATATTTTTAATTGTGTTGGGATTGTCACATGTGGACATTTCAAACTGTTTTACATATTTGTGCAGAGGCATAGCCTCTTAAGGAAAGGTTGTCTCTGCAATGGAAATAGTTGTTCCTGGTGATTAGACATGGCAAGTAAACTTGGACTCGTATCCAGATGAATTTTATGTTTTATTAAATTGTAATTCTGCCAGCCCATTTCTACAAACAAAATAAACTTATTATTCATAATTAAAACATATATTCAAGATTTGGTAAAATTAAATTACATAAATATAATTGACATTTTGATCATTTATGTAATAATAGGAAAAATATCAATTAAAGATGCTTAGTTCTATAAAAGTTAAGGTCAGTAATATAAATAGAAGATATAGCTAATACAAATGTATTATTTTCTATTAATAGACTATATCTCCCTTATATACGATTTTTAAATTAATTAAGTATACTATTTTGCTTGTTTTACTGTTGATCATTACAAAATCAAAAAATTATTGTGTAAAAAAATAACAAAATTGTGAATTATTTAGAAAAGTATGTTTAGTTATTAGATTTTTAAATGAATCAGTTTAATACTATTGAATTTGAAAGCTAATTTAATATTTAAAATTAATGAAATTAATATTAAAAATAGAATAGAAATTTTGATTGGAGTGAATGCATTACTAGAATAGCTTGTTTCTGCTTGTTACTGATGAAGGTGGTGTGATCTTAAGACTGACAACCATAGAATCTATGGGAGTCAACTATCTGATCCATAATCTGTTGGTTAGTCAACCCAGAAATTCAGAAAAATCTGATACATTATTATGCAAGTATAGTTAATCCATAACACACGGCTATTTTTGGTTCATGCCATATTGTTGTTCGAGACGAAGAAATTACTCGTTGAAGAAAAAAGTTGATTTCATATTTTTGCAGAATAACTGTTTATTGCTGAGAGCTATCAGGGGAAAAAGTTTAAACAAAAGTTGCATCTCATTTTTATGACTACAAAGCTGCATTGCATTATTACTAAATGCAAAGATTATCAGTTATATTATTTTATTTGTTTGTGATATAGTCCAATCCTTACCTTATTTTTTGTGTGGTGTGCAAAATAGTCAAACGTGTTTATGTAAATCAGAATGTTCAAGAAAACTATCAACATATCAATGTGACTTTACATCATTTAATGTTAAAATAGAGTTTCTTGCAATATCTTATTTACAGTGCTATTTACAAATTAGTCTAATAAAATAATACTTCAATAAAGTATGTATGTTGCCACATGAAAATTGGTTATGGAGAAATATTTTTACATAAATTACAAAATACAAAAACCCAATTTCAAGAATAGGTGGTGGAGATAACTTTAAAAACATGAATTTTTCAACATTTATCTACGTGTAGCTTTGTAGACATAAGAAAGATGTGCTTTTTTTAAAATTTTTTGTTGATGTTTTTCATTGATTGGCATTTATTCTGCAAAAACAAGAAACTGGCATTTTTCAAGGAGTGATTTCACCCCCTCAAATCACACTATTGCATGATTCAAAAATAGTTGTGTTATGTATATACTGTACTACCCTATTTGCACACACTGTGTCTGATTTTTTAAATTTTTGGGTTGCTTAATTTTTCTTGTAAGTGTAATTGCTTAGATTAAGCTCTATTGTATATCAGTAATAAATAATAGCATCAACCCTAACAGAATTGTGGCATAACTTGGATTGAATTTTAAATAATTAAATAATGAATTTTTGCTGTTTATTTTTCTATAACAAAATTGTGACAAATGTTATGAGCTCAAAAAAAGGATTTACTTGTTCAGTTTTGTTTCTTGGAGGCCAGTCATCTCTAGTCTTTATGTAAGTGAGGCTTTTTAATTTTTGTTTTTTTTTAAAAAAAAAGACAAAAATTAGAAAAAATTAGAGAAACATGTAGTTCATTTTAAATTATGTTAAAAGTTTGACTAATAAATTGTATAGTTTTTGCAAAATGCTACATTTAATGAATTTGATATTTTAGAGGAAAAAAACCATTAAAAAGAAATTGTTTTATTACTTTATTCATGAAAAGAAATTNAAATTAGAGAAACATGTAGTTCATTTTAAATTATGTTAAAAGTTTGACTAATAAATTGTATAGTTTTTGCAAAATGCTACATTTAATGAATTTGATATTTTAGAGGAAAAAAACCATTAAAAAGAAATTGTTTTATTACTTTATTCATGAAAAGAAATTTGTATTTCTTTTATGTGAATAATGTTTCATCAGATTATTATGAGGCATGTTTTTTTAAGTAAGTACCGTTTTGATATTAAAAAACACAACTGCAATTTTTTAAATAATTATATTCTTACATGAAAGCCTGTACCTTAATCTACTTTTCAACATAATTTCCTGCAATATGAAGGCACTTTTCATATTGTACAACCAGCTTCTGAATTCCATACTCGTAGAAATCTGCCACCTGATTTGCCAACCACTGCAGCACGGCATTTTGACATAATCATCGTCGTAGCACTGATAGCCTAGATGCCTTTTCAAGTGGAGGAACAAGTGGTAGTCACTAGTTGCTTGATCAGGGCTACACATAGGGTGATCAAGTTGTTCCCAGCCCTATGTGATATGATCTTGGGTTCGTTGAGCCACGTGTGGACGAGCATTGTTATGAAACAAAACTATCCCCTTACTGAGCTTGCTACGCTTTTTGTTTTGGATGACGAAATTGTAAAGCGTCTGTTTTCTCAAACTTTTGCAACAACTTTCTACACCAAGTCTTCAGTAATGACAGACGGTCATCCACTATGCTCTTCGTCATGGACATTAGTACGGCTATCTTTAAATGCTCTAACCCATTTTCTTACCATTCCATCGCTCATAATGTGTTTTCTGTACACCTCAGTAATTTGCTGATGAATGTCAGCCGCTTTCATGTCCTTTGCATTAAAAAAATGAATCATTGTGCGTACTTGACAATCAGTGGGATTTTCGATTGTCTAAGGCATGTTAAACGCACACAAACAAACGTAAAATGAACGAATGCTTCTGTAATTGCATCTGTGGCTAGCCAACAGATGTAGGTACTCAACGCACATTTGTGGAACACCAACCATAGCGCTGCAGTGGTCCTATTTTAAACAGTACTTACTTAAAAAACACACCATGTATTTTAATACAGTAGTTCTCAATCAGGGGTACATAGAACCAAAGGGACTATAGATACTTTTGTAAAAATAAGCCTAAATTATCCTAATTTTGTGTTATTGTGTCAAGTTGTTAATTATTGTGTTAAGAAAGAAGTGTTCATACTATACTCTATCATATGTGTTTTATTTTAATAAATGTATTTCTGTATAATTGGATTTTTTTTCCATTAAAACAAGAAATAACTACTGTAACTACTGTAGTTATTTCTTGTTGACAAGACTATGTCTTGTTTATAAAATCGTACTGCCACCCATTCTTGCCAGCATAGAGGTATGAAGGAATACATGTTGAGAGTTGATATTTGGCACAGAGTATTAGGTGCCCAAATCATTTGCGCATAAAAAAATCCAGACTCATAGGTAGTCAGGGAACCGAGAATCGAGTCAAAATAAAATACAAAATGGCAACCCTCTTCTACAAACAGGCAAAACAGCCACCTCACACCACCGAAGTCAGGTAGGGGAGAGTACCACCCGCAGTTTTTCTAAGAAGTGAACTCTGACCTCAAGACTGAACACGTAGTTTCTTCTAGGTTAAATAAAATTTGTAATCTAATTTTGTAAATTTGGGAGTGCTTCAAATATGACG